GCACCCCCCCCCCCTCCCCACCCCCCACACCCCCGCCCCCCCCCCCACCCCCAACCCCTCCCCCCTCCTCCCCACCCCCACCTCCAACAGCGAAAACGGCCTGCCCGGCTCCCACCGGCGGCACGACCTCCCCCGGCGCGCCAGCAGCACCCTTGGCGGTGGCGGCGGTGACCCGCTGGCGCGCATCCTCACGGGCGAGGACGATACCCCCGACAGCCGGCCGTGGCTGCACAACACGGTGAGTCTGGTGGCGGTGTGGGCGGTGGGGGTGGCCGGGTGGTTTGTGAGTTGGAAGATGGGGGCGTGGGCTGTGCCTGGCGGGGAGGGGGGTGAGGGTGGTGGTGGTGGTGGTGGTGGTAGTGTTGGTGGTGGTGAGGGGCAGGGGGTGCAGGAACCGATGGCGGTGGTGGGCATGGTGTTGGGGTATGCGAGCGCAGTTTGTTATTTGTGGTAGGTTCCCCTTTTTTTCTTTTTTCTTTTTTCTATTTTGGCCTTTTGGACCGCAGAGCTCGAGGAGCCTTTCCAGCGCTGGCCACCCCTCAACCACCTGGGGCACGACATGCTAACAGAGTCTGGCGACAGCGCGCGCATCCCGCAAATCATCAAGAACTACCGCGAAAAGTCGTGCGAGGGGCTCGCCCTGCTCTTCTTCCTGCTGTCGCTGACGGGCAACTTCACCTACGGCGCGAGCGTCATCTCCTTCTCCCAGGAGCGCGACTACTTCATCAGGGCCCTGCCGTGGCTGCTCGGCTCCCTCGGCACCATGGTCGAGGACTCCATCATCTTTGTGCAGTTCCGCATATACTCGCCCGCGCGGCAGGTTAAGCCCAGCGGGGCGGCGTAGGGTGCGTAGGGTTGTGTATGATGGTGTCGAGGTGTGCGGCTTGAGTTATGCGAACGGGGGCGGCATCTTTATAGACGGGTGAGATGAGACGAGAAGGGATGGGATGAGATGATCATGGTTATTGGGAAGTGGGCATTTGCATGTTTTGCAGCTTGGTTTGCATCTTGGCTGCATTTATGGGGCGTCAAGACTCCAGATTGTCGTTTCGTGGGCGTTCTTGCATACTCTGCGGTGTCGATTAGCTTAGATAGCCGCCTGTGCATACCTACCACCTTTGGTAAATACCACCTCGCATGCATGAGCGACCTAGGTAATTTGGACGAACCGAAGAGCTGAGTCGTTTGCAGCAGCCGCGATCCACACTCCATCGTGCATCCCCTCTCAACACCATATACAGCCAGTTCTCATCCCTTTTTTCATTAACGCTGTCGGCACAAAATGTTCAACAACCTCCCGGTAGAGATACTGTTCACCATCTGCGAACATATCGGACATTCGCACCCCTCTAGCGTGTTGTCCTTTGCGCTGACAAATAAACGCAATTACTCTATCGCTTGCGCTATCTTGTATCGGACCATCGTGGTCGAAGCTTGCCACTCCGAGCAGCTGGCCCTGGACACGCAGAGGTGCGAAGACTTGCTCCGCCGGGATTCGGCATTCCCCCATGTCAGACGCTTCATCGTGTATGGAGGGTTTTGGAAGCCCTCTTATGACAATCATTCTCTCGAGCGGAAACCTATGCCGTTCAAGAAGCTCTTTGGGTCGCCTTACGACGACGACGAGGATGACGACCAAGGGATAATCGTGTCTTTTGTGGAGGGACTTACCTTCGAGCGCACCCCTGGCCTGAATATTGGCCAACTGGACGCGTGTTGGGAGTCGCTATGTCGTTTGGTTAAATTGTTGTCCGGCCTGGCAGACTTCGTATTCGCTTTGCCCGACTTGATGCCACCTTGTCTTCTCGAGACGCTACACAACCAGTTTCCGGCGCCATCTCTGACACGGCTGCGGCTGCATGTCTTTGGCTTTGCCCTCTCCAGTCTCGCAGACGGAAAACCGGACCCCCACGAGCTATCCCTTGCGTCGTCCCCCCTACTCCACCGCATTTGGGTTCACTATTGTGACACGGACGGCTACGATCGAGATGGTCGGCCGAGCTACCATGGCGCAGTTGTTGCGGAGCTAGCAGAGGGCTTCTCGCCCAACCTAAAAGATGTGCGTCTGTTCCAGGACTGGGGTGACCCTAAGGACCCAGATGGACGCATTTTACCACCGCCACCGGCTAGGAAGCGTTTCTCAAAAGACCCCCCTGCGATTGGTTCCCTGCGGTGTTTGGAGGTTGCCGGCATACAAATGTATCATGACTACAGGGGACTCCCGGAAGCGGCCCTTCGATGCTGGAGGACAAGCACCGATTTTTCTGTTCTTCAAACTTTGAATCTTCGCCAGAGGCTCGACCGGGGGGGGCTTGCCTTCCTGGAAGAGTGGTGCAGCTTTCCGAACCTCACAACGTTGACTTTGCACTACGATACCCGTGCGGGTGCGGGCCGGGCGGACGCCGAGACGCTGCACAACTTTCTTTGTGCCCTGCCAAATCTTCGCTCTCTCGAACTGCAGGGCAGTTGCACCCTACACCTGAAAGCCACCGCCTTCAACCCCGGCCTGAGAAGGCTAGGCCTCCCCAACCAGCCGGCCGAGCTAGATTACGAACGTCTCCACTCCCATCATACAACGCTGCCCCCAGATAGAGGACCTGAGCCTGGTACTACCCCGTTCTCGAGGCGGCCCCGAAGAGGTCAAGCTCTACCGGGTGCTCGGCACGCTCCCGCGGCTCCGGCGCCTGAGCCTCGCACTCGACGCCAGCTCGCCCACCGCCGAGATACGGTACTTTATCCCCAAGCGCGCGGAATCCCTCGTGCTGCAAGGAAACGCGCATCTCAGCACAGACTCCACCAGCACGATACGATATGCCCCAACCCGCGCCGTCTTCAACGCCTTCGTCGATAGCGCGGTCGACGCGAAGCTCGCCCGGGCCATCTTCACGGCCGTCTCCCAGGGGAAAAAGAACCCCGTCGCCACCATTACCAACAACACCGCGGTGCTGCCCCTCGAGAGCCTCACCGTCTCGCGTCGTCCGCGCCGGCGACTGGGTGGTTACGCTTCATGCCTTTCAGGGGCATATGATGCGCGCCGCGCTGAATCCGTTACCTGAGGATCTTGGCGCGTCCCTGGCGCGTCCGCCGCGACCCTAGGGACGATCGCCCCGAGGTGCTGCATGCTGTCGAATTGGACGACGTCGATTAGGTGACGCCTTCCGTTTACTGGACGGCGGGTGCGCAGGGCGCTCTGTGCCGCTGGTCGGCGGATTTGGCCCGAGAAGGCGCCGGGCAGTAATGGTTGAGGATTGGGAGAGCTGGCCGCTGGAGGGTGTGAATGACGATGAGAATCGCCGGGCTGGCGACGGAAGGAAGAGTGTTGGGGGAACCGTCGGGGTGGCAGGCAACCAGCACACGCCACCGGCGCTTGTTTTTCCCGGCGGCCGAGAGGAAGGACCGAGAGATAGTCGGGAAATAGGCAACTTATAACGAAGTACCGGAAGATCAGTTGCTTTGGAGGCTGGACGTTGTCTGGGGTGGATACAGACCGACCGAGGGGCCGGGGCCGGGGCCGGGGTCCGGCCCGGGGTAAGTGGAGACTGGATCCGGCTCCGGCCGTGTCTGGCTTAAACCCCGTTCCGTGTGCTTTTGACGCTCAGTCGGTTCCAATGCGAATTCGTTGATATCAGTTTTTGCTAGGAAAGGGGACTGGTATCTGGCATGGAACAGACATTATCATTATCACACTGTCTCATAAGATGCTTTGGTTGTATCCTTGGTGACATGACCCCAGCTGAGCGGAAGACCGGACAATCCCTGCCAAGACGCTGGCCGTTTGAAGTGGGTTCTCTCACGGCCGCCAAGCGAACCCCATCGCCCCATCAGGTCATCCATTTCCAGGTCGGGTTTGCCTGTGAGAAGAAGTGTTATGGATGGAATCTTGTGACTCGCTTGATGGTTATTTCTTCCAACATGCGTCTTTGTGAGTCGGGATGAGATCACTCAAGAGTTTTCTGAGTCCCAGGGTATCCGGCAGCTCCCTTGACAATGCACACCGCCTAACTTTCTTCCCCTTCAGTTTCAACCCTGAAACCTGCCAGTGAGGCTTTGGGCCACAGGCGGCTCCAAGTGCGGCCCCGCCCGCCCCGGCCACACCAGAGCGTCGCAGCGGCGAGTTTCAGATTCCAATACGACAAGAGTTTTGCCGCCCGGTCGCGAACTCGGCGCTTCTTGTCGTCCAGTCTTGTGCCATCGATTGGCTTTCCTTTCTCCTCTTCCTTCCCATGTGTAATTCTCTGGTGCGAATTGATCGACACTTCCGCCCAAACCTCTCTCTCTTCCCTTCTCCTAATACAAACCAGCTGGTCTGAATACCTTCATCTCCGCCCTTTTTTATCTTGCACACCTGGATCGATTGATTTGATTCCCTCCCCGGCGGACCCATCAAATCCCAACCACACCACACCACACCACAATACCTACCTACCTCCTCTTAATCCGCGCCGCGCGCCCACCTACCTCCCCACAAACCTTAATCAACACTTCGCCCCAAAACCCAGACCCAAACCCCAAAAAATGCGTCCCGCCGCCCTCGTCCGCCCTCGCCCTCTCGCTGTGCGCCTCGCTCGCCAGCGCCGGCGTCGTGCGCACCCCGATCCGCCCCCGACCAGGTCGTGGCCCAAGACGGGCGACGACTGCTTCTTTGGCGTCACCACGCCGCTAGGGGTGCGGGTACGTTTACATCTGTTTTTTCTGTTCATGAGATCGCTGTTTTGTTGTTGTTGTTGTTGTTGTTAGTTGATGGCTAATCATTGTTGGTGGGGGTAGGCCTGTTGAGGAGTAATTAAGCCGTTTTTTGGGGGGTTTTTGCCTGTCTCCTTGTTTTAGGGGTGGATAACGGTGGTGGTGTTGGGGTGGGTTATGGATGGATGGCAGGATATTGGGATGAGAAGGGCAGACACCGTACGTGTGCTCTCTCCTCTCAGAATCCTCAGCAGGCCGATATCTCGTCAGGATGGGTGGAGCTTGCGGATCTGCGATAGGGCGGACCTTGAACGCAGGCTGAGGCTTGTGGTGATGGATTCTCTTCGTTTATTATATATACCCTACATCGACATGTGTATACTTCGTTGGGTTTCGACCGTCATCCGGACATCTCGTCGAACCAAACGTGCGTCGCTTCCCGACATTGAGTTTTGTTCGCTGACGTTCTGGGTCCCCGTCAACAACTTTATCTTCTAATGACGGACGCATCGAGCCCTTTGGATTTAGCCACGACGCATGATCAGCCACGGTGCATGATCATGATCAGCCAGACCAAGGTGTCAACCGTTACAAAACTCCCGTCGTGTCGCGCATCAACGAAGAAGCCAGATATGTGAAAGGCTTCATATTAAGCGTATATTGGGTATATTTGTACAATTCTGGAGACAAGCACAACCACAATGTGGGCCCAAACGCGGTCCCGCCTCATACATGTAGCTGCTCCTCCCCTAACCTCGTCGTTTTCCACGTCGGCCATCGTTCCGAATTAGACCGGCAAGGGCGCCGGGGCGCCAGTCGGGCTTCCCGATTTTGTGCCGGGTGGCGGGAGGAAGAGAGGGAGGTATGTAACAAGCAGAGACACCACTAATTGGCCTGGGTTAGCTTATGAGAGGACAAAGTTCGGAGGTAAAAATTGCCCTACCTGACATGCCGACATTGAAGTAGCCTGGTGTGCTGCTGCTCTTCTTGGTCTCTTCGCTCTCGCCGAGCCAGCTCTGGATGCTAAAGACAACGGCCGCCCTGTATCGCATATCTGTCAGTTTCTCGTGATTTCGGGGCGCATGTCGTACGAAGATGGAGAATCGTTGGATGTCTCGCGGGAAGGGACAGATTGGCGCCACGGGAGACGGCAGAATTGGGGCTAGCTTACCACCCAACGTATTTGTTGCGCATGAAAATGGCGGCCATGGGGAGAGTAGAGGAGATGGTCGATTGGAACTCGACGTTGTCGCCCTTCGCAGCCGGCTCTTGATACGGAATGACTGCAGTCGTGGTCGTGGTTAGTACGCATGCTCTTCGTTGGGATTGCCAATTGTGATGATAGTCCTCGGCACTTACTCAAGTCCGGTTGCCTCATGTCCTTCTCTTTGTTTGACTCCATGGCGAATAGGTGAGATGCGCGGGCGTGGTGTTTGATGGTTGATTGCCACAACGTGCGAGACAGCGACGTGTTTTTGGTGATCTCGTTTGGCGCAGCGCCCCTGGACTGGACCCCAGATAGGCAGCTACGGAGGTTACAGGCAAAAGTTTTCAAAGTGGGTCAGGTACTGGCAAGGGTTATGGGCAGGGGCCAAGCAAAGCCCTCGAAGTACCTCCTCTCAAGCTCCTGTTACCAGAGCGCATCGCGCGCAGCAGTCAATTCAGAAAGGAATATGCATTCCGTTGGCATCAATAACTGCCTGCTGCCGTATAGGCATTGTATCTACACGCTCTCTAAGGATTTCCTCGGGGATTGCTTCCCACGCGCGTAACGTTTAAAGCCGGCTTGACGGAGGGCGTAGCGGATCGCATACTCTGAACAGTCCCAGCCTAGAGCAGCAGGGATTTTGGAGTAGGGCATTCGGCGAGTAGCTTTCGAGGAAGTGATGAACGCAATCAAATCTTCAATCTGTTCTGGATTGAGAAGGCCGGGCCGACCAGAGCGTTTCTTTGGCGTGATGTTTGGGGCGCGGCAGGCATGTCCGACCTGGTTGTAGGTAAAGCCGAGTTGCGCGACGATTTGCTCGTATGTAAAACCACATTTGCGGAGAGTCTGAACTTGAAGCCGCTCATCGCGAGAGAGATGGGCGCTCTTAGAATGATGGCTCGGCGGCGTAGAGGGGAGCTCTGAAGACATCGCGAAGCTGGTGATGTTTGAATTGACTGCTGCGCGCGACGCGCTCTGGCAACAGGAGGTACTTCGAGGGCTTTGCTTGGCCCCTGCCCATAACCCTTGCCAGTACCTGACCCACTTTGAAAACTTTTGCCTGTAACCTCCGTACTGTGTAGATGCCCCACAATAAAGATTCCGGGGGCTCGGAAGAGCTTCCAGGAGCGATACGCTAACGCACGGGCCTTTGGCCACTTCGAGAATCCGCCTTCTCCTCCTCCCAAAGGTTCTCACATCATCGCGATCCTGAGCGGAGTGGCCGGAACGACACCCCGGCGGACTTCCTTCCAGCGCCATCGGGCCACCGCCCATGCCACTCGGACCCGGAAAACATTACTCGTTAGATTCCCCAAAAGGGAATCCCAAGGGTTCCTAGCCTCCTTCTTGAGCCCTTATCGACATTGGCACGCACGCAAGACGTAATACTCGGTAACCATGGCTTGGCCGAGGGCGCGAGAATATTGTCCCAGTCACCTCGGCCGAATCAAGCAGCTGGCGTCCGCCTTGAAATTCGCAGAAACAAGAAGTGTGTAATCTGTACACAGCAAGTGGCAGAGCTTCGACAAGATGCAGCGGCCCGGACGGCAATCTCCGTGGCCTGTGACATCGCACATCGCAAATCCGGAATCCACTGCAGTGAGGATGGTTGTACAAAGATGCCCAACCATTTCCACAACTTTTCCGGCTGGATACCGACAAGATCCCGATTGATATGGAGTCCTGCGGCGTTCCCACGTATCCGCTGACGGCAAAAGGAACAGGGTGACGGCAATGAGTGGCAGGTGAACGATCTTGATGACCAAACTCGCATCAGCAGCGAACTAGAGATTTAGTTAGCGTCGGTATGGAAAGGGCCCGCCAGGGTCAGGCCACGGAGGGGCGTTGCCAAGTCTGATAGATCGCTGACGACAGGGATCTCACACTGTGTACCATTTCGAGATGCCGCTCGCATCTGCAACATATGGATGTACTATTCCGCGTTTCAAAATGGGATGCAGAACACTGCAGTGGGTGGTGGGTGTGAGGGGCAATACATAGTAATCGGGCCACGGAATAAAAAACTGGATATGCCGTTCTAGCCGCCGTTGTCGACCTCGAAGCTGCCCGATCCGCCCCCACCGCGGGAAGCACTGTGTGCAGAAACATGGCAGCACCGTAAGGTCACATCCCTACTGCTCAAATTGGGGCCAGCGTGCACGCCATCTCCCGAAGAGCCTGTGGTGGTAAGGGTCCCGCACGCAGCCCGACCCAAGCCCTCTGGGGTCGACTTCTCTAGGTAGTCTCTCGAGTTAGACTACCACCACCGACGGGTGAATTGTGACCTCCCCTGCTTCAACCCATCGAAGCAGTCACACACTGCTGGGTTTCGAAGTTGGTCGCACATATCCCTCGCCCTCCATCGCCAATGTCGAGTTTTCATTTCCGTCATCTTCAAATCGAGAATCGAATTGTGTTCTCAGCCGTCGCTTCCGTCCGACGACCGGCCTAGGTTAGGACCAAAGCCCCCAAGCGGTTCCCACCGCACTTCACGCTGCAGGGATCGGGTTAGGTTCAGCGGATGCTCCGACTTCATCCATTCCATCCCACCGCCGTTGCCATCGGACAACTGGCGCCCCCAACCCGACAAGAACCTCTCCTTTCTCCGACGGCATCTTGCGGCATGGCGCAGTCGCTCCCCCTCCTGCGATGACCTCCCGGCCTCCCATAGGCGTCCAGCAGCGAGCGCCCCAGGTCAAGGCTGAGCGGGCCGAGTCTGTAACAACGCCCGACCACCGCCCGCCAGCGCGTTCTCTCGGAGCAGCAACGGCAGCAGATCCCCAACAACAGCAGCATACGTCACCCTCAGCCCCACAAACAGGAGTTCTCTTAAGTCCCCCCCAGAGATCAGGAGGCGCAGTCGGCATGCCCCAAGCGGGTCGATCGCCCTCAAACTCGAACTCTCCAGATCGCGACCCCTCCACATGCGTCTCGTCGAGTCGACGAGCGCCGCCGAGTCCAAAGTCTTCATCCCGTCACGCATAATGCCTCCCACCGACTCCTCCGAGCTCGGTGATATGAGTCCCCACCCCTCGATCCATCCGCTGAGCATTGAGGCCGACGTCCCGTTACCTCTGCCCCAACGGCCCCCACCCTTTGTCGCCAGTGTGCCACGCCGCGAGATGCCACCCCCGGCAACTGCCAACCCCCCCAAGAAAGATAATCGCCCGAAACCGTACACGGTAGAGCCGCCGGCTGCTGCCCCGCGGTATGCGATACACACCGATGCCCAGGTGAAGGCGGGCGGATCGGCGCCAAAGATCGGATACGCAGACTTCTTCCCTTGGACGGGGAATCATCCCGAAGACCAGTTTTCCGACGATGTGATCCGAAATGGATATTATAATAAGGCCTTGTATACCCCGGCAGAAACACAGTCGGCCAAAAACATACTGTTTCCGGCCTTGAAACACAAGACTGGCCTCACTGCGCTGTCATCCGTCTTTACCGCCGTGTTGGGGCAGAGGAGGCACAATGGGCAGATCACGGCTCCGTCGACCTTCAAACCCCCACCCCGAGTTACCCTCACCGACACCAAACGGGAGTCCTGGTTGAAGGATCTCGCGAACCCCGCCATTTCGCTCCGACGGCTCAGCCGAACGATACCCCATGGCATCCGCGGCAAGATCCTCCTCGAGCAATGCCTGAACAAACGTGTGCCGACCGACCGAGCAGTCTGGCTGATCAAGTGCGTTGGCGCAAAACGAGATACGGGCAACCAAGCGGAAGGGCGTCAGCACCTTGGTAATGGGCGGGGAGACGAGGTGGATCAAGGACTGGACTGTTTCGGTTGAGCAGTTCATTGAACATGTTTATTTCTCGTTTGACGACGATGACTGGAAATTCAAGGTCCACTACACGTGAGTTTTTGGGAAACCTTTTATCCCTTCGGTGATCAGGGACTAACGTTGGACCAGAACGCGACTGGCGGCACATTTGTACGCCGAGTATTTACTCGACCGCGAGCATTTCTCGGAATGGCTTGTCTCCAACCTCGAAAACAGCTCGGACGCTAAACTTCCCATGTGGATGCTCATCACACAATTATACTGGAAGGACCTGCTCAAGATGAGGAGGTACGGCCGCAGGCTGGTTACCGCTCTTATCAGCCACCATCACCTAGTATGTAGATCCGGACAGCCTTTTCAATCGATTGCGAAATACTTATACTGCTGCAGATATATAACCACCCCGACAAAGACATTTTACACCCACTCCTGGAAAGCCTAACCCAGTGCCTGAATACATTAATATTGAGCAGCCCTGAGAATTTTGTATCTCCATCCACTTGGTCCAAGTATAGAGATGCTCTAAAAGCGTGCCTCCCCGCTGGCGACCAGGCGAGACACAACTCCTTCGGCGCGATAAATCTCCGAAACGAACAGCTCGCCGCAGCCGCCAACAGGTCGCAACCGGCTGCCCGGCATATCCTAGTACGGATGCTCGACGGGACCCTCCAGAACCCCATGTCGAACGAGCTGCCGGCCCAGTGCTGGGGAATCTCCAAGGACAAGGACGCTCTGGCGAGAGCTTTGCTGGAGTGGTGCACCTCTCTGTACCGCCCTGGTCTGGCAAAAATCTACGTCACGAGCCGGATACTGCAGCATTGGAGCACGCTGGGCTTGGACTCGACGGCGACCGTGCTGGACTTTCTCGAGGCCGATGCTTGTGAAGAGAAGGAGCACAAGTCGGCGTTTTATCACGTCGTCTGCGAGCTTGTCCGATCAGAGATCTTCTCGGTCCCTCGCTATATCCAATGGCTCATGGCGCGTGGGGGGACAAGAAATCCCGAGCTTGTCTCGAGAGACGGGCCGGCACCGACTCGTTTGCTCGTCGAGGTCCCAACACACGCTCTCGCGCCATCTCAGCGGGACCTCCGGGGCGAGATGCTCCGGCGCGCCTCCTTTAGTGTGGCAGACGCGGCAGCCGATGTGGAGTTGGCGCTCAAGCACCTGAAACACACGCTGGGGATGTCGACGGACCCAACGGATCTGAAGCCGTTGTCACTCAGCAAGTTCACCAAGAAAATCGCATCTGCAGACCGAGCGCTCAAGGCCGAGCTCGGTTGGTGGCTCCGGGCCAACTTCGCTGCCCACGCCGAGGAGAGGGAGAGAGAGGGTAACCAGGCGCCGGAAATATCGCCCGCCCTTTTCTACGCTGTTCGATCCGTGCTAGAGGCAGCCGAAGACTTCTCCATGATTTGGCGATATCTTTGAAGACGCTCACGCGGCACTCGAGCGTGAAGATTCTAGCGGGCCATCGCCGACACGGTCACTCGGCACTTATTCATTTTATTCCGCCTCAGGTGTTACCCTGCCCTTAGTTCAGCAATCTAACACAAACGTATCAAAGAACGACGTACAAGAACAGACTATCGCTCTGCGCCCGCACATAGACCACGCTCGTAACCCTCGCACCGAGGATACCGGGCATGGGGGGAGCTTTGCCCTCGCAGTTGAAAAAACGACTTAGTTGCTGATACGACGCAGGAACCCGGTGGATGCGAGATACCCCAATGGTACGATACGATGGTAGACACAATCCAGAAGAATACCCGGAGAGCATACCAGAGAGAAAATAGAAAAAAGATTACAG